AATAAATTAAAATAAATCAGATGTGAAAACAAGAGAAGAGACTGTTCAAGGAACCGCAGCTGGTCAGCAATATTACAAGGACCAAACACCAGCCACTGATGTGAAGGAGAATCCCTGTGAGCTGTTTGGAAAAAGAAGGAGCAGGTTTAATAACCTCTAGCTTGAGTAGAGCCTAGGCAACTCAATCACAGGGACACCTCTTCCCTTATCTACCTGCACTGATATTAAGATCATCTGAGCTAGTAAGAACATCTTTCCAGGTGCCCCTGCTAAAGGAGTCGAGCAAGGCAGGTGTCTACAGGATTGAGTCTTTTCAGTGGTGACATCCACCTCCTTGGAAAGCTCTCCATCAAAAGGCTCACCTGGCACCTACGGTTTATTCTTTTCAGCACCTAATTATTCTCCCAGAATTTAAATTAACAACACTGTTTAACTTAACAACATTGTTCAGTGCTTTCAGTCCTGCTGCTGGTTTTAATCTGGGTGTAGGATGCTGTCATGGTGTCATCTTTTGCTCTTGGTTTTCCTGTGATGTTTTCATTTTTGGTTTTATTTTGATGGATTGTACTTTACCCCCAGAACTTCACTTACCAGGCACTTTAAAAAGTATAGTAAATAAAGGGCCTAAGACGAAATAAGGGACAATCTTATGGTCTCTGGAGTAGCTCTCGGGATTTTTCAAATATCCTCCCACCAAATCTGGCTGCAACAACTTTGGAATGCAGTTTGAAGATCTGTTTTAGCCCTGTTTCATCCAGCAAAGAACACACTGCCGGTTTCTGAGGTGGCAGGAATGACCTCCGCTGGTCCTCTTGCAAGATCAGAGACTTCCTTCGGATGGGTGGCAACCCAACGGAGTTCCACCCTAAAGTAAAAAGTACATTTATTATATTAAGTTTAAAATATGAAACCTACTGAGGCTGCAAACAGCTGCAAGAAATGCATGGCTGCTTTGCTTTCACCATGCTCAGTTCCACACTGTCTGCCTGGATCTCCGGGAAGTCGCAAAAAAGCAGCACTATATCTAAAAGGAGAAATCCGCTTTGGTCACTCCAGGTCAGTTACTTGCCTTGTTGTCTGACAGTGAAAGGTAATGCCCAGATCCCCCCAACAAGCCCACCCTGGACTCCCCTTAAAAAAAAAAATCCTTGCCCAGATGCCCCTTTAAATTCCCCAAATGCTCCTGTGCTAGCTAGCACTGCTGCAGGGCATTCTGGGAAATCAGGAAGTGTAACAGGACACGGCGAATTATGGGGACTAAGGAAGGGCCAATCAAAGGGCACTTTGCCCAACACTTCCCTCAATGCAACCTTGACACTGAAGACTTTCCTGCTTCACACACACTTCGGAGGTGCCCAGAAGGGCTACCTCCTCTTGCTGCTGTTCCCCCCGCGCCCAGCAATCGGTGGCACGGCACCCCCAAAGATGGTCCTTCTGTAGCCCTTCACAGACCTGCAACCTCTTTTCGGGTGCCTGGCCCTAGAGACTCCCTGGTATGAGCCCAGTCCAGAATCACCAAGATGGTCCCAACTCCATGCAGGATCCAGGAAAGTTTAGGCTGGATCAGAGACGATCAAGAGGCAATACAACCATCTTCCAATATCGGGAGCGACATCGCATGGCACAAATGTGTCTCCAGCTCCTAAACCCACAGGTCTCCAAGAGTTTCAATGCAAAAGCAAAAGAACTTGCGGACTTCCAATGATTCACTGGGAGGTTTCTGGGCCAAAGTTTTCATGTAGATCTTGGATGGGCACTGAACTGAGATGAAGGAAAGGTCGGTCCCCACCCCACTGCCAGACTGGGGGATCTTTAGGGTCTCTTCTAGGGGGTTCCCCCCAAAACCCCACAAATGGGCCATTTTCCGAAGAACTCTACCAGCATGGCTGACATTGCTTAAAGCATTCATAACCCACTCCCCAGTCACTGATTGCCCAATTCACCACAAACCTGTCTGCATATCTGAGCCAGGAGTTCACGGTCAGAGTGCTAGATCTGGACTTGGGAGATCTGGGCTCTAATCCCCACTCAGCCACGATGCTCCCAGGGTGACCCTGAGCCTCTCGGTCTAGTCTACCTCACAGGGCTGTTGTGAGGATAAAATGGAGGAACTTGTGGAACTGTCCTGAGTTCTCTGCAGGAAAGCAGTGGGATAGGGCTCTATTAAATACATCCATCACAATCTGCCTAAGTGGATTCTCTGTATTTTATTTTCGTTTTCCTGTTAAACCATCCTGAGACGATGGTAAGGGACGGTCTTAAAAAAGTTTTAAAATAAATAATAAATTCTTTAGTTTGGTTCCCAATTGCCACCCAATTGCACGCACGCACACACACCCAAACAAACACACACACTTCCTCCTATGAGGTATGCTTTAAAAACAAAGCCTCTTTTAGTACACAAGGGACATGCTGGATCGCAGGTATTTCCTGCGTGCTTCTTGCCATCATTAACCCTATTCATTATTACAGAAAGCAAAATCAGCACTTCACAGTCTGTTTAAACATTAAGCCAATTTCACTGGTAAACAGAAGCACAGCTGCCGAAGACGAGCAAAGAACCCTGGTGGTTTTTTTTTATTTGCAATATCCACATTCGCATGCACCTGGGCAAAAATAGTTTGCCACTGCTGCGAAGCTCCTGGCTATGCACACGTAATATACATTCACACATACAGACTCAGACTAGGAGGAACATTATTTTGGTCCCCCCTCTCTATTAATGTGATGGCTAGTTGATAAGAATACACATTCCACAAATAGCGCGATTAAACTGAGATCTGGATTAAAGAAGGGGGAGGAGAGCACAGGCTGCTGCATAAGGAACGCGTTGGCTTCTCGATCTTCCCTAGTATTACTACCAAAATGACATTTTCTTGTTCTAAGTATAGCCCACGCTACAACCTGCCTGCACGAGTGCAGTGGCTGCCTCAGGAAGCAGAAGTTAAAACACATTCAGATGAGCTCTGAATGCTAAAAAAAAAAAAAAGATTGCGGCATATAAAGAAAGGGGCATTCTGATTTTCGTCTCTCTCTCTCTTTGCAATGCAACGCAATATCCCCTTTTCTGGGCTTATGCCACGGACGAGGGCAGGCCGCCGCCGACGCCCCACCCGCGTGCACGCATACGCAAGCAAGCGCGCTCGCTCGCACTCACACGCACGCACACACACTCACAAACATAAGAACGCACCGAGGGTGTTGCAAGAATGAAACCGCCAGCAACAGCCGCCCCAGTGGGAGCGTCCCCAGCGCACGTGGTCGGGGGCAGGGCCCGGACACGTCATCGGCTCCCCCCCCGACCAATCGGACGAGTTTGGAACGCCGAGCAAACACGCAACGTTCCAAACCCGGGGAAAAGGGCGGGGGGGGGGAGAAAAACATGCGCCGCCAACGTTCCATTGTGCCCTGAGATCTCGGCCACGCGCTACGGCTGATCTACGCCCCCGGACACCCCCCCGGCCCTGGATCACCCCCAGCAGATTTCCCATGCAACGCAGAGGCGGCGGGCGGGCAGGAGGGCAGGCGGGCGGGGGGAGTTTAAAAAGGCTCCCGGCGCCTTCTGCCGCCCCCCCCCCCCGCGCTGCAAGCAGGCGCGTCTTCACTACGCGGAGAGAGGCTGTGGGAGCGCGGCTCCAGGGTGCAACAGCCCCGCCCCGGGAAGCTTGGGACGAGAAGGGGGCAGGTCCGTCCCCAAAACGAAACCCAGACGGTTAGGGTTAGGAGTAGGGGACGCCTTTCCTCCCCCGCTTCCTAGATCGCTTGCTTTTGCTTCCCCCCCCCCCCCGCTTTGGAATCGGGGAGCCATCAGGAGGGAGGGGCTGGCGCAAAGCTACATGACTTCGTAACCCGCTCCTGCAACCGCCCCCTCCCTCTCGCGAACGCTTCCACGCGCGTTTGGCCTGCACGGATTACGCGATTAAAAGTTGAGCTCGACGGAACCGTAGAAGGTGCGGGGGGGGGGGTCGTGTGAATGGGAAGGAAACCGCACGAGTGCGCGGAAAGTCATCACAATTCATCGGTGCTAATGACTGGTCTTACGTGCATTGCGTCTGGTTAACGACGAGAACAGTGCACGGGTTATCACGCCCCCGCCTTCTCTTTTTACACGGCAAAGCGGGAAGAGATCCGATTTTTATTTATATTAAGGTGGGCACTGCTGGAAAGACCGCAGACCCATCGCTCTGCACAGGCTCCTTGACTTCTCCCCCGCCCTCCACCACCACCACCCCAGGGCTCGCGTGTCAGCAAGTCGAAAGCCAAAACCGCACAGACCCAGACGGGAAGCGTTCAAGAGGCTGCGATCCTAGACGCGCGCACCTCGGAGCCAGTCCCGCGGAACTCAAAGGGGGTTTGCTTCCGAGCAGACACGTCAGAGGATCGGGCACTTAGGAGTGGCGGAGGGCCAACCACCCCCTCCAACCTCCGCTGCTTGTGCAATAGTTTTTAAACCCCATACAAAAGCCTTCTTCACGCACACCCCGCCCAAATTTTCAGCAAAAATATTAATCCAAAATGGGGGGAGGGAGAGAAAGGAGGGCAACTCCCCATTCGGAAACCGAAATAGAAATCAGGTGATTTCTTTCCCGTTGCAACATCTCCGCCGAGAAAGATAAAACAGAAAGGGGAAAGCATGAAAGCCAAGCCTATTTCGCCGGAGCCTCCACCGCCGTACACGCGCCAAAAACGTATCAGGGCTTCGCCAGGTTCAGCCAAGCGTCGGATGCAACGCGTGTTTGCTCGAGCGGCAGCCCCAGCGGGGCAGCAGCGCCGTGCTCCCGCGCACTGGCTGGGGAGCCTTCCCCGACACGCGTCCACACCGCGCGCCCCGGATCGCGTTACAAAGTTGCTTTCGCTTCACACGCGCGCACGGAAGGACCGTCCCCGGGCAGCTCCGGGTGGCTGGGCGATCCAGCCGTGCAACCGTTCTGGAAGCGCATGCATCCCCCTTCGCCTGCGGTTGCGCGCCTCTGCCCCCCCCCCCACCCCGGGTGACTTACCACGTGTTTTCTGCTGTTGCTGCGCTTGCCATTCCAGGAACCTGGCCGCTTCTAGCAACGTCTCAATGCTCATTTCTCGGGGCTGCGTCTCAGCGGAAGGTCCAAAGTCTTGGGAGACGTGCACGCCCCCCAAAATAATTTTTCTAAAAAGCAGAAGGGGGGGGACTCCCAGCTTTGCCCCTCCTGGCAAGACCTCCGGCGCTGCGGGGACCGTTGCAAAAGAAGAGGGAACAAAACCGAGACGCCCGGCCAGGCACTCTCCCCCTCCCACCCCGCGCCGCCGCGAAGCTTCCAGACAAGAAAAAGGCTTTGTAACAAGATGGCGATGTGTAACAGAAACACAACAAGAAAAAAAAGGGGGGGAAGCGGGGGCTGGCTCTGCCCTCCGCTACTACGGCGCGGGCTGGAGGCGGAACCCGGCCCGGATTCCTGCAGCGCTCCAGACGGGAGCGCCCCTGCCTCTGACAGGCGCGGAGTTTCCGTTTACGCACGCAAGCCGCATCGGGTGACCCGCAGGTTTTCCTGGGCGGCGCCGCTCCGCGCTCGCACGTGGCGGCTGGCATGCTCGGGCGCCCGGCCAAGCAAAGGCGGGGCCGCTCCCCGCTCGCGGGAAAGCGGGGGGTCGGAGGCAGCCGCCCCCCTCCGCAGCACGCCGCGGTTGGAGAGGTCCGCGCTGCCTTCGCCTTTCCTTCCCCCGGCAGGGCGCACGCCATTCCCTGCAGCTTGCAATGGTACAGTCCGCGGGGGGGGGGGAGGAGGAAGTAGGAGAATTTGCTAATATTGCTCGTATTGCGCCGAGGCGAGTTGCAATGCCAGTCCCTGGGGTGGCCATCGCAGCGTTACGACAGACTCCAGGCGTGAAAGGGCTGAGCTTCTGAGCAAGCAGTTCTCGTGTCCCTAAAATTAGCCCTTGCGCCCATGCAACACCAAGTTTTTAAAGGGGATCCGGAGGGGGGGGGGTCTGGGAAATGGCAGGCCAGTTAGTTTAACATCTGTTCCCGGTAAGCCGCTGGAAAATATTATTAAATATTATTAAAGATACAATTATTCTGCACATAGCAGGTGCAAACCCTGCTTAAGCAAGGAAACAAGTTTTGCTGAAATATGGCTTCTGCAAGGGGAAGTCTTGTCCCACTGACCTGCTGCAGTTCTTTGAGTGTCCATAGGCATGTAGACCCTGAGGCTGAGGATGATTAACGGCAAAAGATGTTAAGAATGGACTAGAAAATATTTATTTATTTAACGCTTTTCTATCCTGCCCTTCACAATGTCTTGGGGCGGTAATACTATGAGTAAGATAAATGAGAAAAAATAAGCAAGATATTGCATCAAACTTACAATAAATAAAATCCAATCTTTAAACACTCACATTTAAAATAATGGGAAAATAAAAAGGTTTTGGCCTGGCGCTGAAATGAAAAAAGAATCAGCTCTGGGGAGCCTGTTCCATATTTTCTGTTTCAAAATAGAACTGCTCAAACCTTACTTCCCACATGCAAGTCTTTGGTGCAGCCACACTTGGGATACTGCTTTCAGTTCTGGTTGCCTTACCTGAAAAGTGGCATTGCTGAGTTGGAAAGGGTGCAGAGAAGGTCAACAAAGATGATCCGGGGGCTGGACCTGCTCCCCTGTGCGGAGTGGCTGCAACTTTTGGGACTTTGCCCTGGTCCAGCGGGGCTTTTCTCATGTTCCTAAGCAGGACACTGGCCCCAAGAAAAATCTGAGGAAAGCATTAAATCTGAGGAAAGAGTCAAAGGCACCTTTGGGTGGATGCCAGGAAGTACTTCCTGACCGTTAGGACCCGGAGGGTATGGCATGGGCTTCCACAGGAGATGACTGAAGCACCATTGTTGAGGGTGTTTAAAGACAGGCTGGACATGCCCATGGTAGGCATGTCGTGAGCGGAACTGGCTGGAGCCGGGGGTCAGACTAGATGGCCCAGGAGGTCCCTTCTGACTTACTCTATGTTTCCAATGTGGCCTTCCCCAATCTGGTGCCTTTGAAGCAGGTTAAATAACAACTTCCATCATCTCCAGCCTGCACGGCCAACAATGTATGAAAACACCCTCCTGCTCTTCCAATCATGTTTCATGATCGGGTTGATGGTTTAATTAGATTCTTTGTGTTTTATCCATGTACACGTGTTCTCCTTGTCACATTTCAGTGGACTTAACGCGTGTACTGGCCCATCTGTGTGTTGAATTGTGTGAATGCTTCTTGAGAAGATATGTCTATCTGAAGCACTGGAAACACAACAGCAGTTAAAAAAACACAGAACAATATTGTTCTGTTGCATTTAAATGTTTTTAACTTCATTTCCCAGGTCTGTTCAGCTATTGGCAATTTAGAAGGAGTTGTCAGAGGGTCTATCTGCCATATCCTGGATTACTTAATTATGCCTTTCCTGCTAGAAATAATGTCCTGACCCGGGCTGAGATGGAACTTGAAAACTGCTGCCATTGAGAAACACATACCAAACCAGAGGGATATCCATTCTTGGGCTAATCCCGAGTGCCCAATCGAGTTATAACCAGCAGGAAGAAAAATACAACAGTTCGCTCACACCTCTTTCCTGCTGAGCTGTAATTCATAGTGTGATGTTGGGATGTTTCAATCAATAAAGGTTTATTTTAGCTCTCTTTGATCTAAACTCTCTCCTCGAGCTCTAGCATCTTACTGTTTTACCATGATTGCAACTGTAATGGATTATTGTCACTCCAGACAAGCTGGAAAGGGTCCTGAGGAGGGGAAAGAATGATCCTGGGACTGGAGACAAAGTCCTGGGCATGTTTAGCCTTGAGAAGAGAAGACTGAGGGACGATAGAGCATTTCACAGGTACCGGAAAGGCTGTCATAAAGCATGTCATGAGTGGAGCTGGCTGGAGCCGGGGGTCAGACTAGATGGCCCAGGAGACCCTTTCTCACTCGCTCTGTTTTTCTATGTTTCTGTTCTTATTGAAAGATATTGCTGGAAGGGTCTCAGCAGCTACCGAGTCCAACCTTGCTTGACACGGGAAGGCACCGAGTCATTGACCTTCAGCCCAGCTTTTCCTTAGAGGTCATTTGTGGAGTTGCATCAAGTTACATCACCCAAACTTCCAAACCCTCCCAAAACTGTAGCCCATTTATTGCCTGCCACACCAGCAAAGAGCAAGGCTTGGCTACCTTCCTCCGCTGGCCATTTGGGTCCTCAAAGGGCACCATGAGGTCCCCTTCGATCTCCTCTCCTTCAGGCGAAACGGACCCAATGCTTCCCATCTTTCCTTGCCGGCCTTGCTTTCCACCATCCTCCCCCGTAAATTTGCCTAGTGCTGGTTAAAATGCGGCACCAAGAATTGGACACGATGCACCAGCAATGCCTGATGATACAAAATCATGACTTACAAAGACCTGGGTTAATGCAGCCTAAACTCACTCTGGCCCCATCCCTGAGACTTGCTTTGAGCAGACATGCATTGCTCGCACTGTGCTGTGTTACAGTCCTATTTTGCAATAGGATCGGTGGTACAGGCAGACTCTGCCCTTAGCGGGCTAGCAGAACCCAGCAGCTTTAGATGCTTGGGTATCTTACAGCAAAATCTGCCAAGCCAGACCTAACCCTTTCGGCCCTCTCGCTCGCTTTGCTAAAGCGGGGCCTTGGAGTGTGCCCCGAAGTCCCGTCCCCACGGCACCCTGCAGCCTGTCCCCGCTTAGGCAATTTCCTCCCGGCTTCAGCCGATCCCGTCCCCTCCCTCTCCGGCTCTGTCGCAAACAGGCTCAAGGCATTTCTCCCTCTGCGCGCAGGCTCCGGGCCGCTCCCGCTCCGGCTCCGGCCCGGGTTTCGCGGCCGATCCTCCCCCCGCACTGCGCTCGCATGCTGCTCAGTGACGTCACCCGGGCGCCGGCCAATGGGCGGGCAAAACAACAAGGCATGGAGCAGCTCCACATGGGCACTCCGCGCCCTCCGCGCGCCGCGGCCTCCCCTTTAAAGGGACAGGCGGCCGGGCGCGCAGCCTGGCCTCCCGCTCCCTGCGGCCGCGCGGCAGAGCGGGGAGGGGCGCGCCGTTACCCTCGGTGAACCCTGGCGGGGGCCGCTCCCCCGCCTGCGCGCCGGAGGGAGAGGGTTCCCTTCCCACGCTGCTATGCCGCCCCCGACAGCAGCGGGGAGCGCGGCGCTTTCTCCTGCAAACAGCCGTCGCGAGAGCATCGCCCATCGAATCAACATTCCACCCGCCTGTTTATATCATTTCCACCCCCCCAAAAAATCTGGTTTTGATTTTTTCAAAAACTCGAGGTTTTGCACGCAGCCCAACAGAGATCTGGGCAAGAGCTATTCCTGCCCTTTCTTTATTCAGCGCAGGCTGAATGTGTGTATTTTATTTAACTGAATTAAAACATTTCTATGCCGTGCTTTGCAACAAGCCTCAGTATATGGCTTTACGCGGACGTTTGCAGAGGGCTGCAAGGACACCTCGCACT